AAAAAAACAAAATAGACATAACATAATAGTCATGAGGTACAATTATACTGTGTACAATGCAAACCAAATTTCATATCACTCACATTAGGTACTGCTTTCATTCTTTCAATGGATTTACGACAGAGGAAGGACAGAGCAGCTTGTGGATCATCTCCCAGCAGTGGATTAATCTCATGCTCTAGTTTCTCAAGAGCTTGACTGTTCTACAACAAAGAATCCACTCATTATAATCACACCATTACATTATAACACTCAAGTACTTACTTGATTTATTTCTTTGTTAGACATTTCCAACATCCTTTGGGCAGTTTTTGTTAATTCAGAGTTGAATCCATTATAAGTGATGCAATTGTTAACAATTAGATTGACATGGTCCGTAAACTGCTGCCTTGTCTCATACTTGTGCTTACGAATATTCTGAAATAATAAAAATGAGTGTACATACATGTAGCAACTCAAAAACTTAACATAGTCTACATAAAATAAAAACATTGATATCTATCAGAACTGCAATTAATTAACATTAGTATTATTTGTAATCTTCAAAATAGAAAAAAAATTCTGGCACAAACAATAAAAATTATTAAAAAACAGCATGTGCTATTGCCATGGCTAATACATTTTCTAATGTACATTGATGAACTTGTGCGATGGCAACATTTTTAATGCTCATAAACTCAAAAATTATTTGTTGGAATCAGCTCAAACTTATAAGGACATTAATGTGCATCATAAAATGTAATGGAAATTTGGGGTGATTTCGGAGCCATTTTTGGAAAAAACCATGGTACAGGGTTTTTTCAAAAATTTAGATTTTCTTAAAATAGCCGTAACTTGAAAAATTAATGTCGGAATCAGCTCAAACTTGCTACACAGTACAAGGACATTAATATGCATCAAAAATTTAATAAAAATTTGGGGTGATTTTTGAGCCATTTTTGGAAAAATCCATGGGCTATAGCCTTGGGTATTTTTCAGAATTTTGACGTTTTCTTAAAATGGCCGTAACTTGAAAAATTAAAGTCGGAATCAGCTCAAATTTGCTACACAGTATAAGGACATTAATATGTATCAGAAAATTTAATAAAAATTTGGAGTAATTTTGGAGCCATTCTTTGGAAAAATTTATGGGCTATAGTCTTGGGTATTTTTTAGAATTTTGATGTTTTCTCAAATTGGCCGTAACTTGAAAAATTAAAGTCGGAATCAGCTCAAACTTGCTACACAGGATAAGGACATTAATATGTATCAGAAAATGCAATAAATTTTGGAGTGATTTCGAAGCCATTTTTTGAAAAAATCTATGGGCTATAGCCTTGGGTTTTTCTCAGAACTTTGACGTTTTCTTAAAATGGCCGTAACTTGAAAAATTGAAGTCGGAATTAGCTCAAACTTTTTATACAGCATAAGGACATCAATATGTATCAACAAAATGATAAAAAATTTAGGGTGATTTTGGAGCATTTTTTTGCTCCAAAATCCCCCATGTAAATCACTATGGTTTCTCTTCTTTGCTGTCATTCATATCACCTTGTGAAACAGTGTCAGTGGTTCGGTCAGTGGGTGTTTCTTTACTCTTTGAATCATCATCACTCTGAACCTTCATACTGCTAGTATTCATACAGCTGGTATCTTTTACTGGTTCATTTTCATGTTCCACATTTTCATCCTTATTTTCTTTCATAATACTTCCATTTGATTTATCTAGATCTAGTTTATTCTTTGGGTCCTTCGGTATTTCCTGTGGTGATGCCAGGATTGCTGGAATTTTTCCCAATTTCAGGACTCACTTTCCATGAAACAGTAATCAAAAGAAGTCTCACTCGGTAAGATTTGATCTATAAAGTGCACAGATAACGGCATTAATTCATGTATTAATGTAGTCTATTTAAGGAATAAGAGATTATTATTATTATTATTATTATTATTATTATTATTAATAAACTCTACAGCACAATAGTAGAATAAAAACACAGGGAGTTACAGTGCTGATGGTAACCTGGTAAACTCAGCAGGAACCAGAAAAAAAAAAGAAAAAAAATAACTTAGTGTATGAATGAATGGAGTTATGTACATGTATGATGGGAGCTGATACAATTATAGCAAGGGCATAAGAAATGATAAGTGCATAAATCAGATGAGTTGAATTTAGTTAAAAAGATGCTTGTGAAGTGATGGTAAAGTGAATCAATTGCTTTAGAGTGAGTGAGAGAGAGGAGGTTTAGAAGGAGTAGGGCATTCCACAGACGAGGGAGACGGGAGAAGTAGAAGTGACGTGATGGAGTAGTACGAGTATATGTGTGTAATAGGCTATGAGGAGAAGATCTAGTGACAGATGAGGAGTTAAAGATAATAATAAATATTTATTTATAATAAAATAAGTAGGCTTACATACAAAATGCTAAAAAATATAATCATACAAACATAAACTCACTTCTTTGGTGTATTCTATGATTCTAGTGTTTTGGCGGAGACCCAGCCCCACCTTTTTATAACTACAAGACCACGCCTCTTCTGACCCCACCCGGGCCACCCTAAAAAGTAAAAACTCAACTAAGAGAAGGTCGTTGTTGTTCATTGCACTCGGTTCATTGTTAGTCTTGTCTGAGGCCCTGGCCTTGGGGTAGCTTTTTTTAATGGAACTATGGCCACTAATCAAACTTGTTTAGGTATGACTCGCCATTTTGATTTTGTATGTACAATGTACATGTAGGTGTTGATGATCTTGTTGATGTTCTTGATTTGTTAAAGAGCTGTGGTTTTCCTAAAGCAAATTGGTATGACCTTGGACTGAGACTAGGACTAAAGAAGAGTACACTTGATGTCATAGAAAAGAATCATCCTCATGACATATCTCGCTGTATGACAGAGTGCCTCTCCCAATGGTTAGGTAGAGCTGATAATGTTGACAGTAGAGGAGGAGCCAACTTGGACTCACTGTCAGATGCTCTACGATCTATGAATGAAACTGCTGTAGCTGAGAAGTTAAGTGAGTCAACCATAACTGTATGTTACTATAATTATTGTATTTTCTATCATAGAACATCATGCTCTTATTGCTATTTTTAATAATCGTCATACTCTCCTGTCTCAGTCTCTTTGTGATTCTGTTGGTATTGCTGGGTTACTTTATGCTGAACGTATGTTAACGCTAGAAGT